GCTTCTAGTGTCCTGGCCCCACTGGTGGACCTCCTGAAGGCACCTGGTATTTCTGGCCACTGTGTGACACAGAGTGTTGGACTGGATGGGCCACTGGCCTGATCCAACATTGGCGTCTCTTATGTTCTCTTATGTTCTTATGTACTCTGCATAGGATTGCACTGTCAGTCTGGAAACTTTGCGTCCAGTGGCACCTTTAAGACCAAGGAAGTTTAATTCTGGAGATCAGCTTTTGTGTGCATGCACACTTTGTCAGATGCTTTCTTGGTCTTAAAGGTGCCACTGGACTCAAACCTTTTTCTGTTGCTTCAGACCAACACGGCTCCCCACCTGAATCAGTCTGTAAACTGTTAAGCTGTCAGTGGTTTGTTTTTATGATCTCTATTTTTATGGGGGGGGGGTTAATGCTGGAGTTTAATTAATACCTTTAAATGTTTTGGTTTTCTTACTGAGTTACTCCAGTCTGAGCCCATTCATTTCACTGGACTTAGACTGGAGTACTCCACATAGGTTTGCACTGTCAGTCTGGAAACTTTGAGTCCAGTGGCACCTTTAAGACCAAGAAAGTTTAATTCTGGAGATAAGCTTTTGTGTGCAGGCACACTTTGTCAGCTACTTTGTTGGTCTTCAAGGTGCCACTGGACTCAAACCTTTTTCTGTTGCTTCAGACCAACACAGCTCCCCACCTGAATCAGTCTGCAAACTGTTAAGCTGTCCGTGGTTTGCTTTTATGATCTCTATTTTTATGGGGGGTTTTAATGCTTGATTTTAATCAATACCTTTAAATGTTTTGGTTTTCTTACTTTGTAAGCCATCACCTAAAGAGGCAGCATAAGAAGAAAGAGGAGGAGGAGAAGAGGAGGAGGGGGAGATTGGATTTATACCCCACCCTTCACTACCCAAAGGAGTCTCAGAGCGGCTTACAATCTCCTTTCCCTCCCCCTCCCCGCAACAGACACCCTGTGCGGTAGGTGAGGCTGAGAGAGCTCTTTCGAGGACTGCTCGTGAGAGAACAGCTCTGAGAGAACTTGTGACTGACCCACGGTCACACCAGCAGCTGCATGTGGAGGCATGGGGAATCAAACCCGGGTCTCCCAAATTAGAGCCCGCGCTCCTAACCACTACAACAAACTGCCTCTCTAAAGCTTTCTGAATAAATACTTGTAGCTGTTCTTATATCAAAAGAGTGGCGCGGAAGCCAAGCAAGCTACTGAATGAGGGGTGACAACTTATCCTCTTCTCACCAGTGCTTACCTTCCTAGGGAGAGATCTCCCCACGGGGACGGCGGGTGTCGAGCAGAACAGTCCAACGTTTACTCCGGGGGTGGCAAATGTGGATTCTTCGCTTGCCACAGCAATATCGCAGCTCGCTACCAGTTGGCAGCCAGCGGCAGTGGCAAGGCCGTTGACCTTGGCGATTATGGGTACTGGAAGCTTTGAAAGCAGCGTCATGAGCTGGAGGAATTAAGAAGAGAGCAGTCACCCTTCTCTGGCAGGAAGAACAACAAGCGACACTTGTCGGCAAGGCTGTTCTTTGAGAACTGATGCTCAGGTGATGATACTCCGGGGCTTTTCTGCCTTCTCATTTTCCTTGCTTGTAAGTTACCTGATGCTTCATGGGGGGGGGGGTCCTGTTCTGCACGTGTTTTGCTCCCTCTGGTGAACAATTTGATATTACATCGCTTTATGTCTGGCATAAAAACCTTCCGTTCAAATCTGCAGGGAGATATGCCGGACATATACCAACGTAATATTGAATGGACCACTAGAGCCAGGAATTTTTTTAAGGGTGTGTGTGAGTGCTGCTGCTAATTAAATTAGATTAAATAAGCTAATCTGCGAACCCGTTTCAAACACCACCACCACTGAGCCATTGGCGGTGGGAAGAGGGCCCAACTTCGTCCCTAGGAGACTGCCTGAAACACCGAAACCCAGCCCCACAGACCCTTTTGTCCAGAGGGCGACTGGCGGCCTGGCCTCCCCGCCCCCTCAGAGCCTTTGTCATGACCCCAGCTGGGTCTTTGGTTTTCTCTGTTCCCACTAAGCTGTGGAGTCTTGTGAGCAAAAATTCTACTTTGTGAGCTCCTGGCATTAAAGTTGTGAGCAAGCAATTTGGCTACTGTATAAATTGGTTTGCTCTGGAGCCATCCTTTCCTGAGCTAAGACAAAAATGTGTGAGCCGGAGGCTACAAAACTGTGAGCTAGCTCACAATAACTCAGCTTAGAGGGAACACTGTCTGCCACCACCCTGGACTTTCGGGTCCCTCGGGAGTCCCAGGGTGTCTCCCAAGCCCTTGTTGACCGAGCAATACAAGCGTGAATGACCCAGGCGGACACCAAAATAAATTAAACAGAACAGGGTTTATTAGGAGAACGACTGGGCAAGGCGCTTCAACCGGGTAACAGGTGGAAAAGCCAACAGAAAATAAACTGAACGCGGCTGCCTTCCTTTGGTTCCACTACCAGGCCCTCGCCTGCCCCACTCACTCAGGATTTTCCTCCTCTCCCAGCCCGGCCAGTTCCTCACTGGATCCAGCCGCAGGGAGGCAAAGGACGGAGGGCTTCTTCCCCTTTTCCCTCAGAGAGTCTCCAGCAACCATTCATCATCAGCCAGCTGCTGCCTTAACTGACTCTCACAGACTTCACTCCCCAACAGACTCTAACGGTCTCTTTTTAGAATCTTCCCCTCGGCCCAAGCCTCCCAAGGCCCCCTGGGAGTTGTAGTCCCCTCCTCCCACTCCTGCACAGGCCTCTTGTCTGGCTAGGCTGTGCTTCCCAGGCCAGATCATGACAGCCTTGCTTGGCCTCGTACCTCGTGTTTTGCCTGCCACATTGCCTTCTCCCTCCCTCCCCCCTGCACCGGGCGCACAGTCTAATCCGTGGCCTTACTCCACTCCCTGCGCTGTCGGACCCAACATTCGGAGATTCATTTGCTGTAGATATGAAAGGGGGTGCTGCCCCGAGCACCCCACCACTATGGCTCAAAACACATGTGGAAAAGGAAACCTCCCCCCCAAAATGGGAACTTACAAATAGGGAAAATCAGGGCTCTTTTTGTAGAAAAAGCCCAGCAGGAACTCATTAGCATAATAGGCCACACCCCTGACTGCACCACTAATTAGCCCATTAGGCCACACCCCCATGTTACCAGAAGTGTGGTCATCCAGCCACACCCACCTTTTGCTTCTTATTCTGTTTACCTTGTCTGTTGTCAAAACCCAGGGCCTTTTTTTGTAGCAGGAACTCCTTTGCATTTTAGGCCACACACCCCTAATTGTAGCCAATCCTAATGAGTTTCTGCTGTTGGGTGTGGCCTGTTATGCTAATGAGTTCCTGCTGGGCGTGGCCAACTTGGGAGCCAGCCGGAACTCCGTTCCTGTGCGTTCCTGCCCAAAAATAGCCCTGGGGGAAATGAAAATGTGGGAAAGCTCCCAGTTTAGCAATTCAGCCCTGTTCCTGTGGTTGAGCTTCGGTGGGATAATATTTGACAGATTCTATGGGCCCCACTCCATGAGTCTGCCAACATATGTCGTTTCTTTGATCCGGACGAACCCTGCAGAAGTCTTCAGCTATGTACAAAATTCTGCACCAAATATTATTTTTTAATCCCACCAATCCTCAAGGAGTTCAGGACGGAGAACCATGCAGAGAACTGGGCATGGAGCCAGGGTCACTGGGGTTGGAGGGGGGGAGGTAGTTGTGAATTTCCTGCAATGTGCACGGGGTTGGACTAGATGACCCTGGTGGACCCTTCCAACTCTATGATTCTATGAAATCATACTCTGTTAAGCTCACAACGACCTTGTTAGGTAGACTGGGTGGAGAGATAACGAGCATGCCAAAGTGAGGAAAGTCTCCCTGGTTCTAGTTTAATTCTCCAAACTGTTCCAGCTCTCAAAACCAAGCTAATTAAAATTTAGGCACAAGATAAAAAATATATATGGATTACAATTAATTCATGACAGGACTTTACCAGCGCGGCAACTCACTTCGGCACAGGTCTCGAAGACTTCGAGGTGATATTTCTCGCCTGCCTCACGAGACAATTCCTTTAAGTCGTGCCCTGAGGAGAAAACAGGTCCTTCGCCTTGGAAGTATTGGGCGAAAGAAAACAGGACAGAAATGTGTGTCACAGATTTGTACTTTTACAGAGAGACTCGATACCACTGTTGTTCTGGAGTCTGAGGGCTATTCCCGTATTGACGCCTGGCACCGTGAAGCCAATCCACCACTACTGCTTGTTACGCCTATGAGAACACAAAACAAGCATTCTGACTCCCAGCCAGGGCCGGATTTAGACTTCCTGAGGCCCTAAGCTATACAAAACCCAGAGCCCCCCTACTGTTTTAAATTACATCAGCTGGTCTCAGAAAAATTTAAAATATATACGCCTTTTTAATATTTGAAATCATTTTTTATATTGTGTTTTTATTCGAGGCCCCAGCAGATTACGAGGCCCTAAACTGTAGCTTATTTAGCTTATGCGTAAATCCGGCACTGCTCCCAGCACTCAGGTGGACTGGAAAACCAAGACCTCCCCCACTTCCTTTGGCCACAGCAAGGAGACAGCCAGTTGCCTTCACCCAACAGCCAACACAGAAAGTAGAAAGGATCACACCAAAATACAATACACCCCACATGGTTGGATGCAGGGGTCATTTTGTAGAAAAAGAGGTGCAGGAGCTCATTAGCATAACTCATTAGTGTAATTTATTTGCCTATGCCACACCCCTTGACATCACCGGAAGTGTGTCAGAAGGCAACACCCACCGCTCAGGCTCCACTGGACTGTTTTGGATTGCTAGCTATTGGAGGGGGGGGGACGTGCAGATCTGTCCTCGCAGAGGAGGGAGAGCTTGTACCTGAATAAAACCTGGTCTTAAAGGTGCCACTGGACTGTTTTGGACCGGGGGCCGGGCTCTGCAACTTACCTGGCTGCTTGCTCTGACTGAGGACTGCTGGGAGCAGGGGGCGGGGCTTGTTGCATGTGCCCGCCCCCTGGGCTCTTTACTGCCGGAGCTCTGCTCCTCTGCGCTCCTGCAGGAAATGACCCCTGGTTGGATGTAAATCTTGGGATGTATGCCCAACAACTTGGCTGCCAGAAGGAAGTCTCTCTCTATGGTGGCAGACATAAGGGATCTGTTTCATCAGAGGTCATTTCGAGGGGGTACGAGCAGGAACGGCGTTCCGGGAGTAACAAGCCCAGGAGCGGGCACCTATGGCGGTGGCTGTAGCCATATCGCAGCTCCTTTTGCCCAGTTCCCTCAACCCCTCCCTCCTGCTTCCTGTTCCTGCTTCCTGTGGGAGAGAAACTCAGTGGATGACCTTGAGCCGCTTAGAAATGAGCGCTGACTCCACAAACCTCATGCTGGAACGAATGTCCTTGGACTTCTCTTTTGTTCTGCTGCCATAGACCAACATGGCTACACCTCTAAAATGACACTCTCTCAGCCTAACCTGCCTCACATAGTTGTGGAGGAGAACAGAGTACCGTGTATGCCACTAAGAGTTCCTTGGAGTAAAGGCAGGGGCAAAAACGTACTCTTTCAAGGGAATCCTAAGAGTAACCAAGCTCTCCGTTTCCAGACTTGCTCTGGTGGCTTTTCAGGGGTCATTTCGAGGCAGTTTTGAAGCAGTTTTTCCGCAGGTAGGCTCGCCAGCTCTGAGTTGGGAAATACCTGGAGATTTTTGGGGTGGAGCCTGAGCAGTGGGTGTTGCCTTCTGACACACTTCCGGTGATGTCAGGGGGCGTGGCATATGCAAATGAGTCGTGCTAATGGGCCCCTGCACCTCTTTTTCTACGAAATGACCCCTGTGTTCCATTCATTCCTTTTGATTCTAGAAGGAAACATCAGGGTGAGCTATAGGATTGGAGGAGGACAATGGAATCACTGGTGGACACTGAACTCTGGGAGTCAGCATAAAGGTGGAAGTTAAAATCCCAAGCATGAAGAGCAGAGGAGAGGCAAAGTTGGAACGGAAGAATGGTTGGGAGGGTGATGTAGGAGCTGAAAGAAGGGGGAGCACCATATGAAATACAAGGGCAAGAAATTTGAAGAGACTGGATTTATACCCTGCCCTTCACTACCCGAAGGAGTCTCAGAGCAGCTTACAATCTCCTTTCCCTTCCCCTCCCCACAGCAGACACCCTGTGCGGTAGGTGGGGCTGAGAGAGCTCATTCAAGAACTGTTTGTGAAAGAACAGCTCTGAAAGAACTTGTGACTGACCCAAGGTCACACCAGCAGCTGCACATGGAAGAGTGGGGAATCACTCTGAGATTCCTTCAGGTAGTGAAGGACGGGGTATAAATCCAACCTCTTCTTCTTCTAGCTCATGAATGGAATCTTTCCTTTATTATTCAGCTCAAATGACCAACGGTCTTGAGCATAAAACCAATACATCACAGCAGGTTAAAAAACAAACGTTACAAACACGGGAGAACAGGCAAAAAAAGCAAAACGCAGAACAATAGAATACATGTATCTCAGGACCTATATCATTTCTTATATAGTCAATGGGATAAAACTCATTTTAGCAGCATTTTAAAGAGACCACTGTTGTCAAATATTTCTGGATCAAAATCTGCTAACAATAAAGATACCACCCAGGACTCAACAGGAAGCTGATATCTGGACAGAATAGGGGTAATCCAAAGAGCCCTGTTGAATGGTATCGGATGATAGAACTTTGTCCTAAACAGCAGAGAATTTTTTTAAGAACACCTGAAATGATAATGACTCGCAGATCCGGGCTATCGCGCAGGAGGTCTTTGCGGAGGGATTTCAGCATGGCGAGCGAGAGAGCATTTCTTCGCCGAGGGTTGCTCAAGACGACATTCCTGCAAAACGGAACTTTTACAAAAGGCGTCTTCGAAATCAACAGTGCTCAAAACATCTACCAAAGGCACACTCACCTCCTGCAAATACGTGAACGGGATAAAATGCTATAGTCTTATGTCACCAGATGGGGATACAACAATCCCATCTGTCATCCTGAGGGTGTTTGACCCCTTTTCTTACATCAGAAGTCTTAGCAGCATGAATCGCAACTTATTTTGGGTGAGTATTTCTCTGTGTGCGCGTGTGTGCGCTTGCATGCCTGGAAGTCATGGCGACTTCTGGCAACTCGTAGTGGGGCATGGACGTTTCAAAGAGGTGGCTTGATATCGCTTGCCTGTGCATCCCGGCCTTGGTATTCCTTGGCGGTCTCCCTTCCAAGTACTTGCCAATTTTTTTTAAATAAAATTTTTATTTCAATTTTTCAATTTACATCAACAGAACAACAACAAAACCTTAGTGGAACGCAATTAAAACCATAACACTAATGGAAAAGTATTAGTATATATTATACTTGCAGTTCTAGATGAAACTGTTAATATTACATCATATGAACAATATCATAATATTTCTTTCGGACCTGAACAGTTTTAGATGAATCGTTGTTGAAAAAGTGTTCAAGGAATGGAAACCATTTAAGCTGGAAATCACTATGTCCAGACGCATTAGAAAATGAAGTCACCTTATCTGAAAGCTTATCCATTGAGTATAACTCCCAGAGTTTGTTGTACCAAAGTGAAAGACTTATATTATTTGTACTTTTCCACGTATTAGCTATAATCGTTTTTGCTGCTACCATGAAGATTGAAATAAGTTCCGTTCTAATTCTAGGAATAGTTTGATCATTCCAAAGGTCTAAAAGATATGTTTCTGGGGAAAGAGGAATGTAATAACCTTTAATCTAATAGTTTACTACTTGCCAAATTTGGCCCAGCTTAGCTTCCGAGAAGGAAGTAGTGACAGACTTCACATTCCTGGGATCCCAGATCACCACAGACTGGGACAGCAATCATGAAATTAAAAGATGCCTGCTCCTTGGGAGGAAAGCGATGGCGAACCTAAACAGCATGATAAAAAGTAGAGACATCACCCTGCCAACAAAAGTCCGCATGGTCAAAGCAATGGTATTCCCAGGAGTCATGTATGGCTGTGAGAGTTGGACTATAAGGAAGGTTGAGCGCCGAAGAATAGATTCTTTTGAACTATGGTGCTGGAGAAGACTCTTGAGAGTCCCTTGGACTGCAAGAAGATCAAATCAGTCAATCCTAAAAGAAATCAACCCTGACTGTTCCCTGGAAGGCCAGATAATGAAACTGAAGCTCAAATACTTTCGCCACCAAATGAGAAGGGAGCACTCACTGGAGAAGACCCTGATGCTGGGAAAGATTGAAGGTCAAAGAAGACGGGGACGGCAAAGGATGAGATGGTAAGACAGTGTCATAGATGCAACGAGCATGAAGGTGAGCAGGCTTCGGAGGGCGGCAGAGGACCGGAGGGCCTGGCATGATCTGGTCCATTGCGCCGCGAAGAGTCGGACTCGACTGTGCGACTGAACAACAACAACAAAAGCTTCCGAGATCTGACGAGATCGGGCTTGCCTGGGCTATCCAGGTCAGGCGAACTGTAACTTCGATGCTAAAGAACTGCCATGCCTGGGTTGGGAAATACCTTGAGATTTGGGGGGGTAGAACCTGAGGAGGGCAGGGTTTGGGGTTGGGAGGGACCTCAGCAGGGTAAAATGCCATAGAGTCCACCCTCCAAAGCAGCCATTTTCTCCACGGGAACTGAACTCTGATCTTTATGCTACTATATAGTCTGTTAGTCTGTTAGTTCCACAGGAGTGGAAGACGGAGTATAAACAGAGGAAGTAAATAAATAAATATATGTGTTAAATATATTCATCAGTTACTACAAATCTCTTTTGTTGCGGTTTAAGTAATAACCAGCCCTTGGGAATCTTAATGGATAGTAACTGTACTGTAGCAAAAAGTTTCCTAAATTGGGGGCCCTATTTCAGATGAATGAAGTGGATTCCAACACGCCACAATAAATCGGTTAGTTTTTGAAGAATGAAAGGACTCTAATGTTTTCTGCTCCGTACAAACATACTTTTGGAATTTGTTTATGCACTTAAAGTTTGAGTTATTATGCCGCTGACCCGTTGCGACAACTCAACAGATGAATTATGGGCAGGGAGGGGGAGCATTTTCGGCTTTCCAGAAGCCCAGTTGTAGGCATACAGTTTTTGGCGAACAGATTTTCCTATCCCCCCATCTTACAAATCTCTGTGGAAGCTTGAATTAATATTAAAGTTGACAGGCATTCAACTGAGATATGAAATGCGTTGTGTTTCCGATCTCAGATGTGGCATGGATCCCAGAAGCCTGCACTGTTACAATCACTCCATAGAAGATTCTTAACTTTCCAATGCAGGATCCAGTGACACAGGCAAAATTCAAATTACTGCAAGCTCCAGTTCTGGAATGTAAGAATGAACCTGCAGGGTTGCCAGCCTCCAGGGGGGAACTGGAGATCTCCTGGAATTACAACTGATCTCTAGACTACAGAGGTCAGTTCCCCTGGAGAAAATGGCTGTTTTGGAAGGTGGACTCTGGCATTGTAGCCAGGGCCGGCTCAAGGTGTTTCTGCGCCCTAGGCGAGGCTGCCTTGTGGCGCAGATGCCAACCTCCCGCTGGGGCCTGGAGACCTCTGGAGCCAGCCACCCTTTTGCTGCCGCCACCACCGCTTCTCCCCCCTGCCGCCACCAAAGGGGGGAGGAGGGGGGAGGCACAGCTTGGCGCCCATCCAGGGCCCGGCGCTCTAGGCGAATGCCTAGTTCGCCTAGTGGGTGAGCCGGCCCTGATTGTAGCTCGCAGAGGTCCCTCCCCTCCCCAAACTCCATCCAAGCCACAAAAATTGACTCTACTCTGGGAGAACCGGGTTTGATTCCCCACTCCTCCCCTTGCACCTGGCTGGATGACCTTGGGCAAGCCATAGTTCTGAAAAGAGCTGTTCTTGAAAAAGAGCCGTTTCTGTCAAGAGCTCTCTCAGCCTCACCCACCTCACAGGGTGTCTGTTTTGGGGAGGGGAAGGGAAAGGAGTTTGTCAGCCGCTCTGAGACTCCCTTGGGTAGTGAAGGGCGGGGTATAAATCCAATCTCCTCCTCCTCCTCCTCCTCTTCGGCGCTCGGCCTTCCTTGTGGTCCAACTCTCACAGCCTTCCTTACTACTGGGAATACCATTGCTTTGAGCATACGGACTTCTGTTGGCAGGGTGAGGCCTCTGCTTTTTATTATGCTGTCTAGGTTTGCCATAGCTTTCCTCCCACTCTAACGTGCTACTGGACTCGAAACAGAATCTGGTATTCTAAGGAACCTGCCTTCCCTATACAATGAATGCTCCCCATGTAACTTCACTAACATGGTTTTCTGACCCTGAAATATCTGCACACGGATTGTGGCATAGGTCCTATGTTTGTGAGCCAGCGTCCCCTTTGTTAGATGTATTTAAAAACTCAGTTTTCATCTTTGCCTCAAATTTAAAGATTTTTTTTTTCCTTGCAAACCTTGGCTAGTATTTGGATGGGAGACTGCCAAGGAAGCCCAGGGTCACTACAGGCAGAGGCAGGCAATGGCAAACCATCTCTGAACATCTCTTGCCATGAAAACCCCACAAGGTTGCCATAAGTCAGCCGCAAGTTGAAGATACTTCCCACCACCGAATCAGGACCCGCTTCAATGCATGCCTACAGGAGCTGATTTTTGGCTCACGTTCAGATACATTTTGCCCACTAGTTTACTTCGTTCTAGACTAAAGTCCACCGTTTTGCCTGACAAAAAGCTGGCCAAACTCATGAACTTTAATTACTTGGCACTTGGTGAGGAATTTCTCCGGACATACACAGATGTCACTTTCAGGTTGATTTTTTTAAAAGGGATAAATAGAATTTCTAGATGACTGTTTGGATGAGACTGAAGGCAAGGTCCACGCCAATGCTCCCTCTAATTTGTGAGCAAAAATTCTACTTTGTGAGCTACTGGCCATTAAAGTTGTGAGTGAGTGATTAGTTTGCTCTGGAGTCATCCTTCTTGGGAGCTGTGGTGGCTCAAGTGGTTAAGACGCTGAACTGCAGGCTGTGGAAGGTCGGTAGTTCAGCAGTTCGAGACCTGGGTGCCGCATGACAGAGTGAGCTCCCGTCTCTAGTTCCAGCTCCTGCCAACCCAACCTAGCAGTTCGAAAGCAAGAAATTGCAAGTAGATAAATAGGTACCACTTCGATGGGGAGGTAACAGCCTTCCGTGCGCCTTGGTGTTTAGTCATGCCGGCCACATGACCACGGAAACGTCTTCGTACAGCGCTGGCTCTTTGGCTTTGAAACGGAGATGAGCACCGCGACCCTAGAGTCGGATTCGACTGGCTTTCGAGCAAGGGAACCTTTACCTTTACTTTTACATCCTTCTTGAGCTAAGACAAAAAGGTGTGAGCCGGAGGCTAAAAAACTGTGAGCTGGCTCACACCAACTCAGCTTAGAGGGAACACTGGCCCACGCACCCCGTGAGTCACACTCTTCCACAACATACCGGCTGAAGTCTCTTGGCCACTACCGGGCGCTGTGAAGCTGACTGTTATGGTTGTCATTTGCAAAGAAGAGCAACACCTGTAAAACGCGGGGCCTGTCAAACGGAGCTCTTCCACCAGGCTTTCCATTAGGGTGCCGCCCTTCCAACAACTAGGCTGTGGCCCCAATACCAACACCAACTCAAAAATATGATCAATAGCCTGACAAAACCCCAGACTACAGTGGTTGATGATCATATGGATGCTGCGAACGCCGCCATCAGCTATGGATTATACTAGCACTTTATGATATGCTTCATTCTGTCTTGTGGTGATTTTATTTAAATACGGAGTTCTGACTGTTTTAACATGTTGTCTGTAAGCCGTCCTGAGCTGCCTTGGTGGGGAGGGCTGGGTACAAATTAGAATAAATAAATATAAATATAAATAAAACATGCACTATCCAGATCAGTTGGAGAAGGAAAGCATTCTGAGCGCAGATCCCGACTCAGGATCTGGCCCTATCGTTGAAAGGCGGCTGGAGGTGGACCCGGGGAAACTGTTGCTCTTTCGCTCACCATATTCTAGAAAAACATATCCGCTCCAGTGTTCCCTCTAAGCTGATTTAGTGTGAGCCAGCTCACAGTTTTTAAGCCTCCGGCTCACACCTTTTTGTCTTTGCTCAGGAAGGGACGGCTCCAGGGCAAAGTAATTGATGCAGCAGCCCTATCGCTCGCTCACCACTTGAATGCCAGGAGCTCAGACAGTAGCTCACCAAGTAGAATTTTTGCTCACAGGACTCCACAGCTTCGAGGGAGCACTGATCCGCTCTCTAATACAGGGGTCCCCAACGTGGTCTCTATGGCCTCACGTCCAGTGTTCCTTCTAAGCTGAGTGAGTGTGAGCTTAGCTCACACTTTTTCAGCCTCCGGCTCACACATTTTTGTCTTAGCTCAGGAAGGGAGGGCTCCAGAGCCCACTAATTTGTGCAGCATCCAAATCACCTGCTCACACAACCTTAATGCCGGTCGCTCAGAAAGTAGACTTTTTGCTCACAGGGCTCTACAGCTTAGAGGGAGCCTTGCTCTCCTCCCTGCTGCACTCCTCCCTCGCCTCCCCACATTCCCACCCCCCCAAATCCCCTGGATTTCCCCAACCCAGACCTGGCGACCGTAAAACACAAAGCAGGCGCTGGCTGGTTCCATATCCGGAGCTCAGCAATTCCTTTTTGAAACTTGAGTTTTCTTTTTAAAGATCGCCGGCCGCCGTGCACACGGGACTCCCGCGGCGCGCGCGCGCGCTTTGGCCGTACACGTGTACGCGCCAACACACGTGTGAATGCAAACCTTTCCCGTGCTTTCCCCCCCTCCCCCGCCCGAAGCGGAGGCAAAGAGGCTCGGGCCCATGGAAAGCTGCGCGCCCCCGCCCCAAGCCTCTCTTGCCCGCTGCTGAAGGCGAGCGCGCCCAGGCGGCCGCAGAGCTTCCCCCGCCGCAGGCCCAGGCGCACGGCCGCCACTGCCGCCATGGCTTCCGAGGCGAGGCGGGGCGGTCTTCTCTGCCGCTGGCTGTCGCGGGAGGAGCCAGAGGGCGGACAGCCCAGCCTGGACGGAAGAGGCTGCTGCTGGTGGCGGGTAGCCCTTGGACGGCTCCTTCTGCGCCCTTGCCCGGCTGTGCTGGCCGCCGACGGAGAGAGGGATGCCAGCCTCCAGGTGGGGCCTGGGGTACAATGTTCCCTCTAAGCCGTGGAGTCTTGTGAGCAAAAATTCTACTCTGTGAGCTCCTGGCATTAAAGTTATGAGCGAGCAATTTGGCTACTGCATAGATTAGTTTGCTCTAGAGCCCTCCTTCCTGAGCTAAGACAAAAAGGTGTGAGCCGGAGTCTAAAAAACTGTGAGCTAGCTCACACTCACTCAGCTTAGAGGGAACAGTGCCTGGGGATCGCCTGGAACTGCAGCTCATCATCTCCAGACTCAACAGATCAGCTCCTCCAGAGAAAAGGGATGCTTTGGAGGGTGGACGCCTTGGCATTGGACCCCACCGAGGTCCCTGTCCTGCCCAGGCTCCACCCCCAAATCTCCAGGAGTTTCCCCGAACCTGGATCTGTCATCCCGACCAGTGTTCCCTCTAAGCTGAGTTCGTGTACAGGTTTTTTTAGCCTCCGGCTCACCCATTCTTGTCTTAGCTCAGGAAGGAGGGCTCCAGAGCAAACTAATTTATGCAGCAGTAGCCAAATCACTTGCTCACAACGTTAATGCCAGTTGCTCACAAAGTAGAATTTTTGCTCACAGGACTGCACAGCTTAGAGGGAGCATTGAATTCCCTACCCCCCCCTTCCCCCTCCAGAAGCTAGGGGAGACCTGGCAACTCTAGATGGCTGTACTTAACATGGTCCGCATGGACAAAGCAATGGTATTCCCAGTAGTCATGTATGGGTTCGAGAGTTGGACTATAAGGAAGGCCGAGCGCCGAAGAATAGATTCTTTTGAACTATGGTGCTGGAGAAGACTCTTGAGAGTCCCTTGGACTGCAAGAAGATCGAATCAGTCAATCCTAAAAGAAATCAACCCTGACTGTTCCCTGGAAGGCCAGATAATGAAACTGAAGCTCAAATACTTTGGCCACCAAATGAGAAGGGAGCACTCCCTGGAGAAGACCCTGATGCTGGGAAAGATTGAAGGTCAAAGAAGACGGGGACGGAAAAGGATGAGATGGTTAGACGGTGTTATCAATGCAATGAACATGAAGTTGAGCAAACTTCAGAGGACGGCGGAAGACAGGAGGGCCTGGCGTGATGTGGTCCTTGGGGTCGCGAAGAGTCGGACTCGACTGTGCGACTGAACAACAACAACAACATTATTAAATGTTAAGAAGAGAAGACGAAAAAGAGATTGGGTTTATACCCCGCCCTTCATTCAGAGTCTCAGAGCATCTTACCATCTCCATTCCCTTCCCTACATCAGACACCCTGTGAGCAATGTTCCCTCTAAGCTGTGGAGTCTTGTGAGCAAAAATTCTACTTCATGAGCTACTAGCATTAAAGTTGTGAGCAAGCAATTTGGCTACTGCATAAATCAGTTTGCTCTGGAGCCGTCCTTCCTGAGCTAAGACCAAAATGCATGAGCCGGAGGCTAAAAAACTGTGAGCCATCTCACACTCACTCAGCTTAAAGGGAACACTGCCTGTGAGGTAGGTTGGGCTGAGAGAGTTCGAGGACTGCTCTTGAGAGGACAGCTCTGAAAGAACTTGTGACTGACCCAAGGTCACACCAGCAGCTGCACGTGGAGGAGTGGGGGAATCAAACCCGCTTCTTCCAGATTAGAGTCTGTGCCCTTAGCCACTACACCAAACTGGCTCTATGTATGTATCATCATCATCATTATTTTATTAACTGTATTTATATCCCGCCTTTCTTCTCCCCAGTGGGGCCAGTGGGGACCAGGGTTGCCAGCGCGAGTTTGTGAAATACCTGGAGGTTTGGGGGGTGGAGCCTGAGGAGATCTCCCGCTATAACAACTGATGACAGAGATCAGTTGCAGAGGGGAAGGAACGGACTTCAGTGGGGTATAATGTAGCGTTACCGGACGTCCTCTTTTTGGGGTGTCCATTCTCTTTGGGGGCTTTTTAAAAAAAAACCTGTTGAAAATGTTCTCTTTTTCGGTTGGAAGATTAGGAATATGCCTAGTTAGTAGCAGTGATCACCGCTTACATAGTAGGAGGTATTTAAAATGACATTTAGAACAAAGTTTAATTCCGAGTATAAGCTTTCGTGTGCAAGAACACGAAAGCTCATACCTTGAATTAAGAGAAGAAGAGGAGATTGGATTTATGCCCTGCCCTTCACTACCCAAAGGTGTCTCAGAGCGGCTTACAAACTCCTTTCCCTTCCCCTCCCCACAACAGACACCCTGTGAGGTAAAAGAAGAAGAGATTGGATTTATACCCCGCCCTTCACTACCCAAAGGTGTCTCAGAGCGGCTCACAAACTCCTTTCCCTTCCCCTCCCCGCAACAGACACCCTGTGAGGTAAAAGAAGAAGAAGAGATTGGATTTATGCCCTGCCCTTCACTACCCAAAGGTGTCTCAGAGCGGCTCACAAACTCCTTTCCCTTCCCCTCCCCACAACAGACACCCTGTGAGGTAAAAGAAGAAGAAGAAGAGATTGGATTTATACCCCGCCCTTCACTACCCAAAGGTGTCTCAGAGCGGCTCACAAACTCCTTTCCCTTCCCCTCCCCACAACAGACACCCTGTGAGGTAAAAGAAGAAGAAGAAGAGATTGGATTTATGCCCTGCCCTTCACTACCCAAAGGTGTCTCAGAGCAGCTTACAAACTCCTTTCCCTCCCCCTCCCCACAACAGGCACCCTGTGAGGTAGGTGGGGCTGAGAGAGCTCTTGACAGAAACTGCTCTTTTTCAAGAACAGCTCTTATCAGAACTACGGCTTGCCCAAGGTCATCCAGCCAAGTGCAAGTGGAGGAGTGGGGAATCAAACCCGGTTCTCCCAGACTGGAGTCCGTGCACTCAACCACTACCCCAAACTGGCTCTCTAGATGTGGAGGAGGAGTGGGGAATCAAACCCGGTTCTCCCAAATTAGAGTCTGTGCTCCTAAAACTTTGTTGGTTTTAAAGGTGCCACTGGACCAGAGTTCCCTCTAAGTTGAGTTAGTGTGAGCTAGCTCACAGTTTTCCGGCTCACACATTTTTGCCTTAGCTCAGGAAGGATGGCTCCAGAGCAAACTATGCAGCAGCCAAATCCCTTGCTCACAATTTTAATGCCAGTAGCTCACAATGTAGAATTTTTGCTCACAAGGCTCCACGGCATAGAGGGAGCATTGCACTGGACTCAAACCTTGTTATGTTGCTTCAGACCGACACGGCTACCCCACCTGAATCTAAAATGAGATTTGTCATAGTGAACACTTTTTCAGATGTGGCCAGTCGGGAAATACGTCCTCTTCTTTGCTTTTCAAAATATGGTAACCCTCGTATGGAGCTGCGGTGGCTCAAGTGATTAAGACGCTGAAACGGAAGGCTGTGGAAGGTCAGTAGTCCAGCAGTTCGAGACGCAGGGTAACGCATGACGGAGTGAGCTCCCGTCTCTAGTTCCGGCTCCTGCCAACCTAGCAATTTGAAAGCAAGAAATTGCAAGTAGATAAGTAGGTACCACTTCAGTGGGAAGGTAACAGCGTTCCGTGCGCCTTGGTGTTTAGTCATGCCGGCCACATGACCACGGAAACGTCTTCGGACAGCGCTGGCTCTTCGGCTTTGAAACGGAGATGAGCACCGCAACTCTAGAGTCAGACTCGACTGGCTTTCGAGCAAGGGAAACCTTTAGCTTTTTAACCCTCGTATAATGCCACAGAGCCCACCTTCTATCCCCTGGAGATCACGTGTAACCCCTTTTTTATTCAATGGGGCTTACTTCCAGGAAAGTGTTGTTGTTTTTTTGCAGTGTTCATGCAGTCTATTGAAATGGATGGGTTTAGGCTGATTAACCGTGCATAGGATTGTAATGAAAATGACATTACAGCTACAGGATAAGGTGATAACAGCTGCCGAAAACAATCCCTAAACAGCTGTTCATTTGAACCCCCTCCACTAAAGCCCCAAATAAAATCTATATACATCTGCTGAGCACACGTTATGCCCCTGCTGATGTTGGTTCTAGGCCACAAAGCTTATGGCCCGCGATAAATGTGTTTGTCTTCGAAGTCCTGCCATGCGAACCACGTCCCTTGCGGGATTTCTCAGGCTCTGCCTCCTGTGCTACACCTTGCCGCTATGTGGCAGCATCTTCCAGTGTAAGGAGAGAGAAAGAGAGTGGCTGATTTCCTGCTTTGGTTCCCAAGCCACCTGTGGAGCCAAACCTTGTCCCATTTTCCACCCCGCCCCCCTCCATATTTTTGCTGCACCGTTCCAGACAGTGGTCAAGAGAGGCCTGAGCTACTTCCATTTTTGAGGGGCCCCCCCAATAAATTAAACAATTAGTAGTAATATATTTTAAAATGTTTACATTTAATACAATAAGAAAAAGAATATCGTAAGACTTTGTAATAAATGTTCCCGTTTTTATTTAACATGTGATTTAACGTCACAAGTATAAATTTGAGGGGATGCCCCCGAGAATGCAAGGCCCGGGTCAAATGGCCCTGCTGCCCCAGAGGCCCTGATTCCAGATTATGAAGAGGAAGAGATTGGATTCATACCCCGCCCTTCACTACCCAAAGGAGCCTCAGAGCAGTTTACAAACTCCTTTCCCTTCCCCTCCCCACAACAGACACCCTGTGAGGGAGGCGGGGCTGAGAGAACTCTTGACAGAAAAGACTCTTTTTCAAGAACAGCTCTTATCAGAACTACGGCTTGCCCAAGGTCATCCAGCAGGTGCGAGTGGAGGAGTGGGGAATCAAACCCGGCTCTCCCAGATTAGAGTCCACACACTTAACCACGACACCAAACTGGCTCTTGGTGTAGTGGTTTCGTGTAGTGTAAAGCCAGTTTGGTGTGGTGGTTAAGTGCGCGGACTCT